GTAATATTAGCCTTTAAATATGTTGAAATTTTATTCTGTTTTTTTTTAGGAAGAGGTGCAGTTGGTATGGTTTATCAAATTGAATATCAAAATATTCAATATGCCATGAAAATTTCAAATAAAAAGTCAACAAAAGAATATGAAATAGCTGAAAAAATGAAAAATTACATAAATGAACATTCACTATCAGATGTTAAAATAATGAACATGTTTAATATACAAGGTTTTATTCTATCAAGACCAGTTGGAAAATTAATGGACGAAAATCAGTTATGTCAAAAGAAATATATTACTCAAATATTCAAGCAATTAGCAATTGGTCATAAACTTGGACTTGTTCATCGAGATATTCGAATATATAATTTAATATTATTTAATGATGAAGATGTTTATTTAATCGATTGGGATTCATCAACATATAATGGTTTTAATGGTGAATATGAAGGGTCATTTCTGACAGCATCAACATCTGTATTGACTGAATATGAATTGACACGTGGTAAACAAGTTTCGGCTTATTATGCTGATGATTGTTTATCGATCATTTATATGTTATTATTATTTAATTGTACAAAAGAAGAAAAAATTACATTAAAAAAACTTGCCCGTGATAGTTCTGCTGGCATATTACTCGTAGAACGTAAAAAAGTTTTACAACGTTATCCAAAAGAAGCTATAGATTGTCTTGATGAAATTGAACAGAAACGTGCTAGTTTAATAAATATAGATGATTTACATAATCAGTGTCAACAAATAATTAACAAATACATAAACTTGACTTAGTTTCATAAAGTTGTTTTTTTTTTCTTACATATATAATAGATTTTTGTTCTTCAATTTATATTTTGTTGTTTATTAAAAAAATAAATAACATAAACGTATTCACTGATTTATTTACATTGGTGTAATAAATTCTATGAGAAAGTTTATAGAAAATACTTTGCACTTGAACATATTTTGTAAGTCTAACTTTATTACAGTGTTTGAGAGTGTTTCTCCCTTAGAAAAGTTAATTTTTCGATAACAAAATCGATTTCTAGATTTATACGTATTCTGATAGTCTTTGCGATAGGCTTTAACCTGGCATAACTATTTTTTTGTTTAAAAAAAAAAAAGGTTTGCTTTTTTTTCTGACTAGTTTTTCTCAGAAGGTCAGCTAAAAAAAGAATAAATTAAAAATTTTTTTTTCGCTTCTTCCACATCCAGTTTTTTCTTCGTATATCGTTTATGCGGGCAATCCTTACTCAATAACGACTCAATATAAAAGTGGTAATGTTTTCCTGTTATACAGAAGACACGCGGAACTAGAAAAGAATAGAGCCGGATTTTTCAATTTCTCTTCTGTTTAAATAAGAAACTTAAGTATTTGATTTTAATTAGCGATGTTTTTGGTTACGAATTTTAGAATTTTTCAAACATTTTTTCAAAGTGAAGAAAGATAAATTAAAAAAAAAATCAGTCCACTATTAGGATCTAGCCCTAAGGGTGGATACCCTACAACTTGAAAATCATTTCGACTTGCTTAGCTCAAATCCTCCTGTTGAAAACGTTGCCTATGTAAAGAGTACTTTTTACCAATGAATTGACTATAACTGATAAATATCTTGCATATTTGGGAAGATATTTTAATCATAATCTACTCTAGCCAAGGCTAACATTCTCTGAAATTTTGGTTGAAATCGGATAAAAAATAAAAAAGTTTGTTTGTAAGGTGACAGAAAATACGTCAGTAACAACGCATTTTTCTAGATATAATTAGCTGACGATAGTGAATATCAATAAGATTCATGTGCATGGAGCTCAGAGATTCTCTATTTAAAAACAACGGTAAGAATGTCAATCTACGTGTATTATTTATTCAAAAATACAAAAACAGGTCCATCATCATAGGGGTGAGGAGTTATTGTTATTTTTTGTTATTAATAACAATAACAATAACAAAAAAAGTTATTGTTATTAATAACAATAACAAAAAAAGTTATTTGTTATTAATAACAAAAAAATAACAAAAAACTGTTTTTTTCGAAAAATCTTAGTTATGCTTTGTTACTATGTAAAAGTATACCAGTTCTATTTGCTCATTATTGTCCAATTGCTCGATGATGTTACTGACCGCAATCTCCGTTAGATAGCCTATGAAACTGAGAAAAATTCTAAAAAGATCTTTTCAAGTATCTTGCTCACCTACAGGTAAAATTTACTAATTGGTTTACGAGGAAAGATTCCTCAATGTTCGATTGCCTTTGACTTGATGTTTTGGTCAAATAAAAGTCTTTGCGAAATGAGATTCTAGGTGCCATTTTTCGAGTTATGATCTGTACAATCTTTCTAGACATTTTCTCATCTCCCAAAGGCCTATATTTGACCAACGCATCAAGTCAAAGACAATTGAGCATTGAAGAATCGTTCCTCGTAAAGCGATCAGTAAATTTTGCCTATAGATGAGCAAGATACTTGAAAAGATCTTTTTAGGATTTTTCTCAGTTTCATAGGCTATCTAACGGAGATTGCGGTCAGTAACATCATCGAGCAATCCGACAATAATGAGCAAACAGAACTGGTATACTGTTACATAGTAACAAAGAATAACTAAAATTTTTCGGAAAAAAAAGTTATTTCTTATTTTTTTTGTTATTAATAACAAATAACTTTTTTTGTTATTTGTTATTGATAACAATAACTTTTTTGTTATTGTTATTAATAACAATAACAATAAATTCACACCCCTACATCATCATTCGAGTCGTTGAGCGTACAGCTTCTCTATGAACTGCTCGAATATATCAATCTCGAGCAAATCCTTCATTCGTCCATCAATGTCTGCCACATCTCGACTGAATTATCTTGAACGATTTTCGTTTTCATTTCCGGGACATTCAACTATCGTCTAAATCAAATTCTCGTCTTTATCCCAGAATCGACAAAACTCAGATTATTTCATAGCATTTCCACAAATTTGTAATAAACAATTAGATATGATCGAACCTGATGAATACAATGAAGTAGATGAAACCAATTGCGAAGAGTTACCATGTGTTACACGATATACATATTGTGATGGATTATGGACGCGTTTAGATGGAAATGATGCAATTAAATGTCCCAATACATTGAATGATCAGTGTCGTCAGAATAATATTTCTCTAAGCCATTATTGTATTGATCCTTATAGCGGAGATATGGGTTGTTTACCAATTAAATATGCAGCTGATACATATGTTCATTATCTTGGTGCTACTAATGAACAATATCATTGTCAAGAAGAATATCCATTAGATTATGATAAACGATTTAAATGTTGGAATTCATCGATATGTATTAGTCCGCTTCAACTTTATGATTGTCATGTGGATTGTCCATTTGTAGATGATGAAAATGATTTATTATGTCGATGGGGTAAAAATCAATGTCATCCAGGTTGGTATCCATGTTTGAATGGAAGATAGATATGGCGTTAACTTCGTTGTGATGGTTTCTATGACTCACCATGTTCTTATGGAGAGGATGAAGCTTTTTGTGATTTAATCGATAAACCATTAGAAAAATATTTCTCCATTAAACATTTTATTGACTATGACGGAGGTATAACAGTCGAACAACATACAAAAAAATCTCAAATTCAGCAACAAAGCTTTTCTTCTTTTCCAAGAATTTCATCAGCTACATTAACATGGGCTTGTCATCGTGGAATTTATGTTCATACGCCGAATTTAAAGAAAAACTTTTCTTGTTTTTGTCCTCCATCTTATTATGGAAATCGTTGTCAATATCAAACAAAACGTTTAAGTGTCGTTTTACAACTTGAAACATCAGCAATATTTTATCGTCATTTAGTTTCATTAATTGATCCTCGAAATGGTACAATTATATCTTATAAAGATATTTTATATACACCTGAATATCAATGTACTCCAAAGATTTATTTCAATTTATTATATTCTCAATTATTATCCGATAAAGAACAATCGAAAATATTACGTTCAAATTGATGTATATCGATTACATCTTCAAGGTGAGATCAATTATCATGATTCATGGTATTTTAAGATCAAATTTTCGTTTCTTTCAGTTAATCGTTTATGTAAAATTTTAATTCTCACTAAAACAAATCGAAATCGTAATAAAATAAAATAAAATTGTGATTGTAGTGAACATGGAGAATGTATTCAATATCTCAATACATAGTAATCAATATTTGCTGTCATTGTCATCAAGGATGGTCTGGAAATCGATGTGATATCTATAATCATTGTCATTGTTATTCTGAATTTGTATGTATTGGTCGAGGACGAAAAAATATTAAACCTATATGTTTATGTCAATTAGGAAGAATAGATTCACAATGTTATATTTCATATTTATCATGCAAAATATATCTATGTCAAAATCGTGGAATATATATTCCTCTTGATGATAAAATTCTATATCGACGGTGTATATGTTCCGAAGAATATTTCGGAGTTCATTGTGAATATCATTCATCACAGATCAATATTGTAATTAATCAAACAATTTTTAAACCATCATCATCTATTCTTCTCCATTTAATTACATTATATGAAAATAAATCACATGAACATAGAACTTATTTAAAACATATTCATTTATATCAAGCAAATTTAATTGTCTATCATCCAAGACATTTTTTTACCATCAATGGGTTTTATAGAAATATTTGATAATGAGAAAATGAAATCAAATTATTATCTTTCATTATTAATACTTATTAAACCAATGAAAAATGAAATATTATTTGTTAAACAAGATGAATGTTGTAAACATATTCGAGATTATTTAATGAAACAATAATTCAATATCATCAATTAAAATGTACAAAATTTTATTATTCTTTATGTTCCCAGGTCAATCACCCTCGGCAGTAAACGGCCGTTCACTAACCAAATACGGCGAAAAACGGCAACTGTTTACGTTAGTCATATACGGCACCAGTAAACGACGACTTACAGTATATTACCGCAATCGTACACAGTGCCCGTAAAAGTTCATC